CATGATTCCTATACTTTCCTTATATCTGTATACAGATAGGAAAGTAAAAATTCTTGCACACTATCTAGGGAGTATTTTGCTGTATAAGAAAGTATTTGTAAGTAAATTTTCTTCTTGAATGTTTGCTTTTAGCTGTTTTGAAAATCGTTTGATGTGTGCTAACATGACGTGCTATGAACTCGCGCTGCCTTGTTAGATTTCCAATTTATTTTTTTTTAATTTGAATTTTTTGACTTCGGGAACTGAGTCCATTCGCCAAACCACACAATTTTATTAAATGACTCAAAAAGTTAAGATATTTCTTCTTCGTTAAATAAATAACAATTTCGTGAATTCTTTTTGCAAACAACGAAATTACAACTTTCCTTGAGTTGCCGTGCTGGTACATAAATACCTGATTTAGGTCTAATGTACTCTTGACCGAGGTCTCTCATTTTTTTGGCTAGTTTCTGTTTATTTACTTTTTTCTTTTCTCACACAATTCTTCTTCTCTTCCTTCACCTTCTACTAAAAAGTCTTCTGGTAGTATTGCGTTTTTTAATGTATTGTCTTCGCCCATATTTTTACCAGTAATTTTTGATTTAGTTTTACGAGATGATTTATTTTTTTTGTAGTCTTTAAGTGGCTTTCACATGAAGCCCCCTAAACTTGAAAATGCTGCCAGCATAATAGCGTTAAACAAATATGGGATGAACTAAATACCTCTTTTTTACAATCTTTTGCTTCGCAGCTTTGTTTATACGTAGGATCATCGAGATCATAAATTTCTTCAAACAAGCTTTCTATGTCGCTGTTAGACTGAATATGATTAGAAGATGGTCCCTTATGATCTGGAACAGGATGCACCTCATTTCCTACTTGCTGATTAGAAATAATATCTGAAATACATAAATTCATGAAAATTTTTTAATTTACTGTCCACGATATTTGAGTACATATCTATTCTATTACTTCCTTAGAAAGTGGAATATCATCTTTTTCAGGAATATTTTTTAATTTTCTTATTTCTGCTAAAGGCACTTAATGAGAACTGTCGCTGTCGTCAACACTTGGGTTTTTTAATTCAATATCGATCACTGTGCCATAAAACCATTTTTTAATGTAAAACATCTCCACTTCACTGCCTACTATAATTTTTCTATTTTTTCTCACACTTCTAAGTTATTTTATGTCTACAATATTTTTGGATCCATCCTTCCATACTACTAGTACATTCATACTTTAAGGTAGTTCACTCGTAAAACGGCTTTTCTTATGAATTAAATAAAATTGAAATATGAGGTTAATGAAAGTGTCTTTTATGTACCTAAAAAAAATAAAAATTTTTGACCGTCTGTAAAAATAGATATTAACAATCAAAATGTACATAATTTACACTCTTAAAGCCCTGTCATGTACACAATCATTGCATTTATTTCAAGATATCTCGAAAATGGTTCTTACCATATTTTTTAAAAACTAATGAAATGTAAATCAAGAAGTTATAAAATTTTCTAAAAAAACGCTGAATTTTTTTACCGTTTTGATAAAGAAATATAGATTTTTAAAATAAAAATGTTCTGTTAGATCTGTTAGATCAGTGATTCCCAACCTTTTTATTGTCGCGGACAGGTCGAGTTTATTACCTTATCGAGGCCTTCTGGGAAGGAATGTTGTTTATACTTTAGGTTGATATGATTTAACAATTTAAATTTAATTGTTTTCAAATTCCGGACCTCTATGAGGGCCCGCAAGCGTAAAAAAGGGGGTAACAACACCCTTACTATCGAGACTGACAACGGATACTACAGCATCAAAACCGGACACGACAATGATAAAAATCAATTACATAATAATATAAAAGGATTTAAAACATTTAACTATAATTACACACCCCATAATGTACTAAAGGTAAGCCTAAAATATAACTTAAAACAAAATGTGAACTATAATATAAATAAAGGTGTAAAAAAAAAACGTTACAAAAGGAGGTCTCCTTTTATAAAGTACCAATAATAATAAAGATATTCTAGACCAGGTCTTAGTAAGTACTTACGTCGAGGTATACTCGATCAAGAATCGGATGATGATAATTCTTTGAGTTTTTCAATTCTCCTCGGCAATTTTATGTATATATTATATTTTCTATCCTTCGAATGACTAATTATGTTTTTCCTTTTGGGTATTATTGTAAGGATTATAACAAATCCAAGGGAAATAGCAATCACTAAACGAACACAAAAATTCGACGATGTTTTCGCGAGAGTTACAAAAAACGGAATGAAGGTATGAGTCAGGGTGAAGAATCAGTTAAATGGACCATTTCGGAACGCGCGATAGACGACAGACGATAACAGAAGTGACGGCAAAGGAGACCGATGCATTTAGGTTACGCTTTACACATTTGGGAAGCAAGGAGACAGGCGACGAGACAACCGCAGACAACCATTCGAGGAATCATTGTTTTTTAGTAGATCCGATCTACTGTTTTTGTCTCTGTTTTCCTGTTTTAGGAATAAAATCTACTGTTTTTGCCAACTTAGCAAATTTTGTTCCTAATTTATTAAGTTTTCCTCATTCTTCAGCAAAAAATGGTCAAAGAATATTTTCTCTAGTAAATTTGCTGAAGTAAAAGCAGCGTAATAAGCAGCCACTATTGTAGGTTTGCTCCATAAAAAAAAAGATAATCATTATGTTTTTATTTAAAATGCAACAAAGAATTAATTGGGCATCATAAAAAGAACATGCATGCCAAACACAACGTATTTGAATTATCTAATTCAGACTGATCTAAAAGAAATACCTAGTATTTTTCATTGGTTTTTTTTTGTTTCCGTACGTTAAGTATATATTAAAGATTTTATTATTTGTTTTATTCTTTGTTTACTTTCTAATTTTGGTAGAAAAATGTTTATTTTTCGTTACTTATATACTTTTTTTTATTTACAACACTGCAAATTATAATTATTTTCCCCTGTATTAAAATCTACTGTTCAAATCTACGGTTTTTTTTTTTCACCCATACTGTTCCAGCAAATCTTCAACTGGCAACACTGCCTAGATAGAAAGAACTTTGCAACTACCATTTCTATAAAATATCGACTAATCACCTCGAAATACAAGCAATGACTAAGGACTGAGTGCGACAGGCAGCAAACGCTCTACCCCGAGACCGACCTACCTGTCGTCGACTTCTGTCTCTCACACTGGTCGCGCCTTGCGAAATGTGTTTCATATAATTGCATATGTTCAGACGTGAAGAGGCGGTTCTTGGTTTCCTTTGCCGTCGCTTCTACTGTCGTATGTCGTCTGCTGCGCGTTCCGAACTGGTACCTGAAGTTTGCATATTCTATAAAATGTACCGAGAGGTATGATTAACGCGATACTACATAATGATAATTATACCGGAGGATAAGCGAAAACAAATAAAAAAAGTTATGCACATGAAACTAGCAATACAAGAAAGTAATATTGGTTGCATAGATGTTAGTAATTTTTTACCAAAACACAATCTTATAAATAGTCTACTTAAAATGGGAAAACATATTGTATACAACAGTTACATAATGTTCAACTTTATGAAACTGATTACATAAAGTAGATCATTTTAATACTTGCTGCAAAAATGTCATTTTATGAAAAAATTAGAAAAATATTTTTTTCAGGATTTTATATTGTTTTTAATGCAAAATGTGGCTATATAAACAGAAGGTGGTCAATTTTTACCCATCCTTGGTAATCGAGTGTTAAAAAGCAAATCAAGAAGAGACAATGCAAGACAACCTCCTGAAAGTGTCCTCTTCTCCTTTCAAATTATTTACAGTTTTTTTTTTCATTTCAAAAATGTTAAAAATATACAGGGTGCTTCTAAATTCATGCGACAAAATTCAGGAGGTGATTGCTCGTATGAAATTAAGATGAGTCTTTCCTATAACAAAATTTCCTCAGCTCACCCCTTTCTGAGATATCCCCCTTAAATGGTGGTGACTAAAATTGAGTTTTTATTTTTTTTTTTCCAAAATTTCAGTAAAGCTAGAAACTTGAAATTTTGTAATTTTCGTGCACTCGCAAAGGACTAACCACGGGTATTTTTTTAATATTCATGTTACATTATAGGGGGGTGAAATTAGCAACCCTTACTTTATTTCATATCAAAACTTTTGTTCGAGATAAAGTTTTATGAAATAAAATTATAACTTGAAATTCTTGTTTTATTTAAAAAAAAAAATATTTTTAATTTTTTTCCCAAAACCAATAGCTGCAGAGAAAAAAATAAACACCATAATTTATAATTTTTTTAATAAATTGAGTGGAAAACAGTAAAGATGTAAAATGTAATACGATTCATAATAAATGCTGGAAATGACCACCTCTAGCCAAATTTTCATATTTCTAGCTTTACTGAAATTATAGAAAAAAAATAAAATCTCAATTTTAGTCACCACCCTTTTAAGGGTGATATCTCGGAAAGGGGTGGGCTGAGGAAATTTTTTTACAGGAAAAACCCATCTTAATTTCTTACGAGCAATCACCTCCTGAATTTTGTCGCATGAATTTAGAAACACCCTGTATATGTATTTTTTTTTGTTTTTCAGGCAAAAAATTATAATTTCATCCAAAAGTTTTTACGCTGACTGATTTGAATTTTTTTGGTTCTGCATCAGTTTTAAACAGGTCCGAAATCGATACCTTCAATATTATTATTGATCAGCATAGACATTTTAAATTTAAAAAAATCTCGTATAGCAAAAACTTTAATAAAATATATCCACCTTAACTCAAGATTATTTTGCTCAATTGAGCGAGAGCCGCCTCTGTTCATCTCTCACCCCATCTCCTAAAATACGAAACTGGACATTACGAATCTAATTACAATCCTTGCTCATGCGTGCACCCCGCGCTCTAGATTCAACTCCCAACAACTCATGGGGGAACCCCGCCGCCTCTACCACCGCCGCCGCCAAACGGTAGGGGTAAGTTCGAGTAGACCGAGACTCACTACTTGTTTCGTCAGTCGCCTACTTGACTTCACGAGGAAACAACAGGAAGCGCCAACGCGCGCCTACTCACCGCATGCTTGATTCATACTCGCGCCTTTGACGATACACAGCTTGCCTTGATTTTGGCGGCAGAACTTTTCTGTCACAAGTGACGTTTAAGCACGTGGTCGCAGTGTTTACTTTATATCGGTGTGAATTTTCTTGATAGTTTTTGAGAAGAAATTGAGAATAATTGCTTCTTAGGACTGATTTTTCGAGAAATGTTTGACAATTTTGACTGTTTGTGATTTTGAGAGATCCAAGACGGCTTCTTATCGCGAAGAGTATTATTCTAGGTTTAATAATTCTGGTAGGTTGCATGTCTTTTTTAAGTTTTCTATTGTGAGTAGTTTTATATTTTCTTGAGTAATTAATCCTATGAGGAATATGAATACATATAATTCTTTCTTAAAATTAAAAGAAGCATGCATAAAACGCAATTTTCGATCATTTTTGAAAAATATTTATTTTTCTTTAATTTAATGAGAATTTTTTTTCATATTTCCTTATTACATTTTATAGTGCTGCTTCCTTCAATAATTCTTGTCAATTTTTTTATTGTTTTGAATTTGATTATTCACCAGAAATATTATTCTAAAATAAACAATATTTTATGTAAAAATCCAGTGCAATATATGTACTATTTTTAAAAAATGTGTATTTGTTTTTAATTTTGGCGTATGTCCCACGCTCTTGTGTAAGTAGATATTTTGTTTTTTACTATTACAAGTAAATACTTACCCAGTACTTATGTGTATTTTATGAAATTCCAAAAACCTAAACCATATTTTATTTAAAATTACAAAAATAGTCTAAACAATTTAATCTATCCCAGGATATAATCATTGTATAATCATTTTATTAATTTATTTTCTTTGGATAATTTAAACTTTTTTATATACGATTTTCTCGGTAAATTATTTAAACATGTTTCCTCAATAGGTTAGATGTATTTATTTTAATTTATTTTATTATTAGAGTTTGAAATAATATTAGGGATAAGTAATGTTTAGGAATTGTGTATTAGTAAACCAATTGAATTAAAGTAAAATTAAGTACGAAATGTATACCTACCTAGTAAAAAAAGAGTAGATAAAATAATGCTTATGTCGTTTTTCGGAACAAATTATTTTATCTGATCCAATGCGGTTTCTTTTCGTCAATAGTATTTACTGACTTTTATAGCTTATACTCAGTCTACAATATAGTAGAACATTTAAAAAATCTACATACCTAATTAAAAGAAACAATAAATAACGCAAAAAATAATGTGAAATAATTTTTATCTAGATGATTTCATTTATGTACCAAATGTACATTGTTAAATAAAATGTTCTACATGTTTTGATAGTAAGTTAGCATCGAATTTTATTATTTAAAATTCTAAACCACGTGTGTACAGTACAATGACATAACTATTAACCATCATATCGTTGTCGGCTAATCTAGGATGTTTAAAGAAATTTGAATTCATTATTTATCTAAATATCGATACAAAAAATAAGATATTCATATTAGAATAAAAAAAGGTATTATTTCATTTATTCGGGGTTATACCAATATCTAGTATCAAAATTAGTAATTATCAAAATATTTTAATGATATTTATGTTATAAAAAATTAAACTCAATAAAAATAAAAGGCGGAAATAATGTTAAAATAAGAAAGTGTTTAACAAGGTGTTGAAAATAGAACATTACAAGAATTAATTATAAAAACCGACTTCAAAATCGTACAGATGCCATCACCACATCTTGATCAAATTTATATGGGATTACCCCTGAGGTAACAAAAAAAAATCATAGAAATCGGACAAGGTAGTAAAGAATTATCGCTAAACATACATAAAAAATGAAGATTTTGAGGATTTTCTCATGGTCCCAATTATTAGTTTTTGACCAAATTTATATGGAACCACCCCTAACAAAAAAAAAAATTGACACCGTGTTAAAGAATTATCTCTGAACATTCATAAAAAATCCGACGAATTGAAAACCTTCTTCTTTTTTGAAGTCGGTTAAAAATAGTTGAACATAAAGGAAATACATGCTAATGTAAAAGGCAAGGCAATATTTACAATAAAAAACATGTAAATATTGTAAAGAGGGTAAAAATAATGGCAACAACACATACAGGGTGGCCCATAAGAAATATGAGAAAGTGTTTTCCATAAAAAATGTAGGGTTTACGTTTTGCATATTTCTAAAATATTGCGAAATATATAGAATGTTCGGGTACATCGGGACAGCTTAAATGTCGATGTTCCTAGATAACTCACCCTGTATACGTTTTCACCAATGGTTTCAGCGTAAAATTTTATGTTCAAATACCAAGTTTTCTTTTTAAATTCTGAAATGTTGTCCATTTATGGTAAAGATATGAAAAATACTGAAAAATTGTTTATTAGAAATATTATAAAAAAACTTTGTTATTGATAGTTACCTAAGTATAAATATTTGGAAAATACAAAGATAAGGGTTTACTGAGAGGATCAAAAGTTTATTTTTATGTACAGGCGATTTTATATAGAAACACCAACTTGCTAATCTTAAATTTCGTTTTAATTACAAATTGAACATGCAGTATATTATTGTTACTATTTGTTAATATAATATAGGCCCTAAAAGTGATAGCTTTTGACAAATTAAAAATAATGGACGCACCCTGTATATTTTATTTTTAAACGACGCGGAGCGATTTGAATTTCACATAAAATAAAATGTCTAAAAATTACAATTCTTTATATACGATCTGATCAGTGGTAATTTAAAATGGGTGTTCACTTTTTCCAAAAATTTTATCATTTGTGAGTTCGGTTCAAAACTTTGTACAAGAGCCAATATCGCTGTTTTTTTTTATTATTTGAGTTTGTATTAAGTGTAGTTATTATTATCAATATCACTATTTTCAAGCACTACAACTATTAATGAACGAATAAATGAATATTTTAATTATTGTAATATTCATTTTGTTTTTAATACGTTGAAAATCATTTATAAACATTATTAGTTAGTCAAATGACTCTTTTTCATATTTTGAGATTATTTTGAAATATATATCAGGTTATGTAGAAAGCTTGACATTGAATTTTGTGTAAAAAATATTATTATATGACACTTTACCTATACCATTTTTAAGTTTTTATTGTAAATTTAATCATTTTTACAATTTGTCACACATGTCAAATAAAATAATATATATTTTAAATAAGTACTTTTTATTGGCAAATAAAACAAGTGAACTAAAATGTTTATTTTATAAGATCAGTCCCATCGCAATACATAATATTACACATATACAAACTAGAATGAAGATATATAATGTGTGGCATTCTAAATTATACTCTTCACAGTTTAACGGATCCCTTTTCCATAAGATTTTTTTCAGAATTAATAAGCTTCATCCCCTTGTAGAGCTTATTTTTTTTATAAAAATTTCAAGTTAATAATATTGTTCGTTTTTGAGTTTGATTTTTTTTAATATTTCAACCCCCTTAACCCCTCTCCCACTTTTATTCAATTTTTTTTTCGCAATCAATAGGCCTCATCTACTTACAGAGCTTGATTATTACTAAAAATTTCATGTTGATGTCGCTTTTCATTTTTGATTTATGACTTTTTTTTTAATTTCAACCCCCCATTAAAACCCCTATTTTTAATCAGATTTTTTTTTAAATCAAAAGGCTTCTTCTCTTTATAAAACTTGACGTTTGCTAAACATTTCAAGTTGATATCATTTTTCGGTTTTAAGTTAGGATTATTTTTTAAATTTAATCTTAACCCCTTATCATAAATTAGGTTTTTTCAAAATCAATAAGCTTCGTCCCCTTATTGAGCTTAATTTTTGGTAAAAAATTTCAAATTGATATCATTTTTCGTTTTTGACATATAGTGCAGACAAAAAACGTGACATCGGACAGACGGAGATAGTAAACCTAAGAAACTATTTACAAACTACTGTATATGAAGAGTAGAAAAAAAAATGTTTGAGGTAAAATTAAACAGTTTAAAGAAGGCACCAATAATATTCAACTGCTTTTATCAAAGGATATTAAAAGTATGAAATAGCAGCATATAATTGAAAATTTACAGAAATCTGTGAACTATAATAATGAGATACACATTGTAAAATCTTGTCCAAAGTATTCTTGCTTTTACTATTCTCCTACCCTTATTGCTGACTTTTGTACAACTGAGTCCATGTTTACTAAAAAATAATGCGTTTTAATAAATAACATAATGAAAAAACAAAATTTTATAATTTTGTCTAAATAGGTAACACTGCCTCATCTATATTTTCAAATTATTGGTTAATTGTAGATAGAATATTCATGTTTTGATATGTACTAATAGGATTGATTGCCCAGAACATGTAGATATGTAGAATGTGACATGTTAAGTGTCTCTCATAATCACAATGAATGTTTAATACTTATTGCTGTTTTCGAGACATACTCTATTATCAACTGTAAACTAATTTACCAACAGCTTTATTTTTATTTAATGCCTACTGGGATCCAAATTACCAATACACCTAATATTTTTGTAAATACTAAATTATACAAACAAGGCAATAAAAAATGACATTAAAATAGAAGATTTCAGGTTTGTAAGCAACACACAATCTACGCTAGGTGGTAACATGATTAATAATTACAGGCACACATAACTATATATAAACTATTTAAATGTATATACCATTTCTTAGGTAATGCAATGCAAAGTCCCTTATGAGTATAATAAATTCAAATGGTTGATCCATTTTTCCATTTCAGACTTGTAAAGTGAAAAACCATTTGTTTCTGTATCTTATATCCTATATCCAACGTTTATTGTACTACCTCGGTAGTTACCTTATCAGAATAATCCGAATTTCCTTTCAGCGGGTTTTGTGGGAAACACAAAAAATTAGCAACTTTCTTACTAACTTCTTACTTCATATTATTTACAGTTGGGTACAAAATACATCTTTTTGAATTAGTCTTAGAATGGTCTTTGACACTGAACCATAATATAAAACAAATTAGAGTTGAAGAACTAAATTATAGGTAAATAAAGCAACATAATCAAAAATACTTTTATTTACCTTGCTTTAAAGAAGTTTTTCGGCAACAATCGTTGAATTGACACACAAACTTTCAATTTATTAAAGTCGCAGTTTTGAATTTTACCCATTTTTTTAAATGAGCACAATTAAAATAGTCTTATCAGGTTTTATTTAGATTGTTTCATAGAGGAATGATAGTTTCACAGATAATAGTTTGTTTGATTTGGAACAGTGTTGCCAGAATATGTTTTTGTTATGTATCAG